CACACAAACATGTACAAAGTTATTCATGTACAAAGCTTTAGTTTTGAAGCCTTCAGTATGACTCCTGACTCCCGACCACTGTTACCCTCTGAGCAGTTCATTTGAAGTACAGCAGGCAAATGAAAGTGATAGCACAACACTGGGGACTGCTGCCACTGACATGCTATGCTGCCTGATATTAAAGTAGAAGCACAAACAGCAGGACTGCAAAACTAAAAACAAAGAGGGATAAAAAGAAAAAAAGACTGAAAGAAGAATCCCAGTAAGTATGCTTTGATAGAAATTGATGCGTTTCTCTGAGACGGTTTCCCAAGTCGAAATAAACAAGGCTTATGTGGTAAATCGGCGGATGTGTTCATGTACAAATCAGCTAGGCAGAATAAAGCAGGGAAAACATAGCAAATAAAAACGGCACCTGCCTAAACTGTCACTGGAGCGATGCTAACTGGCTGGTTGTCGAGGTGGAAAATTTAATCTGTACAAAACAGCATTGCAAGTTTGGCACTATTGGACAGAGATTTAAAATTCATTAAGCTTCCAAGCTTATTAACCGTTTTACCTCGAACTGGACATTGACTACAAAAACGCTGTACAATATGCTGTGGGATGTTTAAGGACATTTTGAGTCTATTATTTATGTAAAATATATAATTTAAAAATGTCTGAAGGAGTTAGGGTGTATTTCATGTCTTAATGGGTTTCATGTATTAAGTTTTTTGTGCATTTAACATCTGTGTTGACGCTTATGAGAAATTTTAAACCTGACGTCGATATGATATAGTGATTGTTCTCACAGTATTACCCCATGCAGTGAAGAACGTTTGTTGTAAAGTTTTTGTTTTTACCTGACACTGCCCTAAACTCTTAAAAGTTAACTAAACGCTTTGTTTTAACTCGTCACTGGTAATTACACCAGGTGGTGCCGACACCTCGGTCGTCATGGTGATGATTTTGCTTGATTACTTGCAGCACTTTGTAGTGTTGGAGACATTAGTCTAGTTACAGAGCTGTGAAGAAGTACTTACAGATTTCTCATTTTCACCTTTGACGCAATTACTTTTCTCAGATCTCAAAATAACTTTAATATCAGAGGAAGGTAATCTTGAGTATGAAACATTGTTTTTAAAAGCTGCAGTATGTAGCTTCATTACATTTTTTTAAATTATTTGAAAAGTGTCAACATTTTGTGACAGTATGGTATGAGACAGAAAATATGTGAAAAGATTTAGCTTTTCCACACACTTTCTGAGCAATTGTTGCCATCTGAAGAAATGCTGCCCTCCTGACCAAAAACGACCAATCAGCCAGGAGGAGGGTCTTAGCGCTGTCAATCAATCTCATATACTCGCTGCTCAATGTGTTAATGGTGGTGAAACAACCGACCGTTACAAGAAAACCGTTTATCCGCCAAACTAACTACCCTGAACGTTCATGATGGGCTCTGCTATCAAGAACGGGGTTGTGATTGACAGCACTTAGACCCTCCTCCTGGCTCTGATTGGTTGTTTCTAGTTAGCAATGGAGGCACTGGTGACAGGTAAGTGGAAAAAAATAGAAAAAATTCAAGAGCTTTTTGAAAGAAGAGCCAAGCTTTACAAGTGACTTACTCCATTCCCCCTCGTTCTCCAAACCAAGATTCATCCGACTGCTGTCAGCTGCAGGTGAAGCACAAACATCTCCAGACGGCTTCACTTCAAAACCAAACTTTTCTTTTCAGCCTTTAATAATTCCACAGTAACGTTAAAAACAATTTATGTTTACCTTGAGCAAGAGAAAAGTATGGTGAAAACAAAGTAGATTGACAAAACCACGAAATGGATAGTGCGGACAAGAAGCTTAGATCAAAGAAAAAAGAAAGTGAAAAAATAAAAACCTTGGGAGAACACGGCACAGTCTCTCCTCACCTGCCACAACATCTGGGCTCTGTCAATGGGAGTTTGACTTGTATTTTGTGCAAACATGCACAGACACACTCACATCCACTGTTTTCAAGTCAGAGTTGGGGAATATGTGACCCACTTCAGAATTGCACCTTCTACATTACCAAGCATATCCATATCTTCCCTCTAAATTAACTGGATCTGATTCCCAGGTCTTCAAAACCTTCACTTTATAGTTTGCTTTTGCAGTTTCCATCAAGAGTTCTCCAAACATGAGTCTCAAACAATGTTTCTCTTAATATTTTTCGCTCCAGCCTTTTATCTCTGTGTCAAGAGTTGTGGTAAGTGGTGGTGAGAACGAACGCTGACGACCCAGGTTGTGACGAAGAAGATGAATTTAATGATGAATGTAGCTCAAAACAGTCCAGATCAGGCAGCATGGCATAGACAATAGCACACAGCTAAATACCGGTAGCATCTGACAAAAGATGGCGCAAGGTAGCCTCAGGACTTTCCAGTTCAACTTAGAACTACTGACTAAGATGACAACTGACAAGGATCTGACAAAGGACAGAGACAAATACACAGGGAGGGTAATCAAGGAATGAGACACACCTGGGAAGCAATCAATGGGGAAGACGCAGAAACAGAGACTCAGGACAGAAACTGAACACAGAAAAACCTTAAAATAAATACACAGAAACACGGATCATGACACTCTGTGTGTGTTCTTAGACTCGCATAACTCTGTTGTCATCAAGAAGTCTTTAGAAAACCTGTTATGCCATTTTTATTGTCTGTTTGGAGTGTTTGCAATTTTCAGACCTGTTTACAACTGCAATCTTCATAAAGTCAGTCAGTACTTTGTGGAACCAAGTTTCACTTTGGTTACAGGTGCAACACTTCTGGGCTGTATCTCTACCAGCGGCTCACGCCTGAAGAAATCTTTTCTTTTTCATCTTTTTTTTTATAGAGTTGGTGACGCACCGGTCTTTTTTCACCAGCATGCCAGACGGGTGAAGTGTCTTGTCCAAGGACACAACGCTGGAGACGGACGAAGAGGGGACTTGAACCGACCGTATTTGCGGTTATGGGACAAACTCCTATTGTCATTGGCTGCGTTGGGTCATTCTGACCCAAGTATGACTTACGGTAAACTCTTTACAGGACTTCTTTTGGCTTCCCTTTAGCAAATAATTTCTTCCTCCTCAATGAAGAGCAGATTTGTTGAATGACAGTTGATCTGCTAATATATTTGGGTTAAAAATATCTGGAATTCCTCCAGTGCTATCCCATGAATCCTCCCTTGACCTTTCACCTTGGGGGAACAGCCAAACCAGTGCCTTTAGTTATGAATACATTCCTGGTGCATGTTATAATGTTATACTCTACACTTTGACGTGTGAAATCCTGATTTCAATCCCTGTAAAGACCCTTTTTTTTTTTTGCCCGTTTGTATTGTTTCATATATTTATATATTTGTTTACTACGACCATTTAAAGAGTTTACAGCTCGGCTTGCAAAACGTTGGGGTGTTGAGTTTCCAGATAGGAGCAACAGAAGCTGACTGCATGACTCTACCAGCACAGTGGTAGGTAAAGCAGCTCTCATCTGAATAATGCAGTCTGTGCAAGTCCAAGCTGACTTTCTGCTTTATTTCATCTGGTATAAGGTGAGTGAGAGATGTGCAACACCTAAACATTCACATTCAGCTTCATTTACTTTTCCTCCACATGGCTGTCTGATTGTACAGATCATAATGAGATGGAGTATCTATCTATCTATCTATCTATCTATCTATCTATCTATCTATCTATCTATCTATCTGTCTGTCTGTCTGTCTGTCTGTCTGTCTGTCTGTCTGTCTGTCTGTCTGTCTGTCTGTCTGTCTGTCTGTCTGTCATTTGATTGTATTACAGTATTTCCACATTAATTTGTACTTTGCTGTCTTTTTTCTCATCTTCTCTGATGCTGCTTTGCTAAATATTATTTTCTTACATCATGCTTCTTTTCATCTATTTTTTACTCCATTCTTTTTCACATTCCCCAAAGTTTCATTCTCTTTTCCCTGTTGATCATTTCTTTTCTTTCCTCCGGTCACCATTTGCTCTTTCAATATTTCCCAGTTTTTTCCCTTCTTCTTACATCTTCACACACTCTGCATATCCTTTAGGAGAATTCATCTCTCTTTCTCTTTTTTCTCAACTGGGAATGGTGAAGTAATTCACCAAACTACTTCTATACACATTCTTTGTATGCTCAAAACACACCAAGTCTATTCTTTACTCTGCTCCCTCTGCGCTCGTTGCCATATTGTTTTGTTCTCACTTGGCTCTCCAGGGTGTGCTTCAGCTTAACCAAATATCTGCTCCTCATCAATGCCTCCAAGCGCGCCACAACTTTAACGTCCCCTGCCTTTAAATTCTCTCTGCATCCCATCACATTTGTCTTTCTACTGTTTTCTTTCTCAGATAAAATACCTGAGTCCCTCTTCACACATCCATATGTAACATTTTCATTTCTTTCACAAAAATCAACTTTTATTCCCTCCTTACTTCTATTCTTAGGATTCTGTCAGTATTAGGAGGATCGCTGTAACGGGGCTGACATTATCCTTGAAACCGATTTTTATTTGCAACTTAAACTAAAAATCTATTTAAAGTAAGCAAACTGCATTCCCCCCTCCTCGAGGTTTATGTGTTGAGAACGTCATAGAACGAGGAAAACAAAATCGCTTAACAATGCTGCCATCTGCTGGGATTGTAAAATCACACTATCATATTCTTTCTATGCATCTTTTCCTGCCTGTCACAAAAAGGACCTCCGTGTTACAGTTTTTCCTCAGTCGCTTCGGCGCATTTCTCAGAACAGAACTGAAATTTTCAAATCGACTAGTTCATGCCTCGAGTCACTGTGTGCACATCACAAGAGCAGTTTCTCACTCCTCTTAACTTTGGTTTGGTTACTGACAATGATGATAAACTTTCCTTTGCAATGTAACACTTTGGTTTGTCAGCTTACAGCTGCAAGTCGCTGATGCATAGATGTGTCACCTTTCTTGTTCAAATTAACCTCATTTCCTTTAAGGGAAGACCACGTGTTGCAAATGTGTGCATGTGTGAGAGACAGAGAGAGAGAGAACCAACCCTTAGTCATCTCAGAAACCTCTGATTGTTGTAGGGGTAAATTACATTTTGTTTGTTTGTATGTTTGGTTTTTATAGTCATATGTCAGTTTTTATATGTCTGGACTTATTCTTGCAGGACTGCAGTCATGAAGACCAACATGCTGGTTTTTGGTTCTCTGTATTTGCTGCTTGGTTGGACACTTCCTCTATGCGCCCATAAGGTAAGTGGAGCTTCTGTTCGGTTGGTGTTCTAGAGTAAAATATAATTTATTGAAGTCTATATCTAGATATCAAGAATGTAACATATGCACTTCTCGATGCTGTAATCACTGAAAAATGTCAAAACTAAGTGATCACAAAAAGCCAAGAATGAGTCAGAACCAAACTGTTGGGTATTAATGGCTGATATTGGACAAAAACCTTTGACACAATATTTTAGAATGTTCACTGCATTAAAGATATATATGACAATATATCTGTCTTTGCATAGACCCAGAACCCCCACAAACACAAATACTAAAATTACTCATAATCAGATAGGCTGCTTGTGCGCACCACTTACATAATATATATAGCGTAAAATATAACGTAATTGAACCACTAAATAAAACATAATTGCAGCTTTTGATTTTTTAACTTATATTAACAAGTACTCATGAGAAATCAGGAGTAGAAAGAGTCCAAAGTGTATAAGAAACTGTCCCAATGTCCATACCATGCTGTACATTTTTAGGGTTTGCAATCAGTTTTTTGTTTTTGCAAGAAATTACAGTTCTTCCGATGAAAGTTCCTTTTTTCCCTCAATACACTGACTGATACAACAAATGCCCATCTTTACTGTTATGGTTACTGAAACCATAAAATCCTATCATACCTTGGCACAATAAGAAAAGGCCTCAATACTATATCCCTAATTTAAAATAATTTAAAAATAATCAAAAAATACACGTTGATCAGATTCTCAGTAGTTTTTCATTTGAAAATAGCACATGCAATAGATACATATTTAGGTGGAAATTAGCTAGCTTACATATAATTGAGCATAAGAATGACTAACAGAAGGTAGAAAAGAGCTTCCAGTGCGATTGATGGTATGTATAGAATATGCATCAACAGGCATCACTGGTATGAAAACTTGGCTTGAGGCAAATTCATAACAAAGGGTTATGTTATAATTAAAACTACACTAAATTTATCTATTTTGGTTCATGAAGACTTGGTCCTTAACTAGGAGGTGATTACCCTGATGATTTTTTCCCCCATGAGTTAATATTCTGAAAATGTGGAAGCAAATACAACAGATTCATTTGGATTTACAATTTTTCTCCCTTTCCCTCTAGATCTCTGGCACCTTCATTACACAAGATGATCAGTCTATCCCCCTGGACATGGTTGACAATTCAGTTGATGACATGTACTCTACCTGCGCCACAAAGATGGAAGAAAAGGTCAAGGGCACATACTTGAAAAAGGAAATGAGGAAGGACTTCAAAACAATGTGGGAAGCAGCGAAAAAGTGCGCAGAGAAGAAAATCAAAGAAAGAGAGAGAGGAGATGAGGCTTTAACAAAAGATCACCTGCAAGCAATTTGTGCGTACACAGCAGGAGGACCAGAAAACGTATACAAGACGTTCAACGAAGCAGTCCGCACCAACAGAACGCAGTACGGTTCGACCTTTCCGTTCCATTCTCTACATTTCTGGCTGACCAGAGCGATACAGATCCTCAAAACCAGCGACAGTAAATGTCGCATAACTTTCCGCAGAACCAAATCCAAGTTCACTGGCGTTGTCAGCAAAGTGATTCGGTTTGGCACTTTCACCTCTACCTCCGTCTTGTCAACTCTGACAAACTTTGGTACGACTACATGCTTTAAAATTAGAACCTGCCACGGGGCATATTTGAAAAAATACCCCAAGCTCGGAGACAGAGAGCAAGAGGTGCTCATTCCACCTTATGAGACGTTCAAAATAGTCAAAGATAAACGCATCAAAAAACTTTCCGACTGTAAAACTGTTTACATTCTGAATAGCACCGGTGTCCAAAGCAATCTTGACTGCCAAATTACAGAACAAATACTTTGGTGATTGTTTCTCTCTCTCTCTCTCTCTCTCTCTCTCTCTCTTCCAAACCCGTAATTATGTAACCATGTATTTTAATCTAAATTTACACTTCTGGCATTTTAAAACAATGTTATTCACAAAAATCACATCGAAGTGACGGACTTAGAGATGTTTTTTTTGTGAATACACAGGATCATGACCCCCAAAGGAAAATCAAGTCCGGTTTAAAGTTGTGGGGAAGATTAGAGGAGGGTTAAGCTTTAAAACAACATCCCGACAAGCCTTGAACATGTCAAAAAGTCCTGTTTAATCCATCATCTGGAAAAGGAAAGAGTTTGGGGTATTTTACTGCATGGGGATATATTTTTCAGAAGACAATAATTTTTTACATGTTTTTAATCAGTAGTATTGTGTTTGTAAAGTCTGTAAAATACATGAAAAATGTTTAAGAATCATTCAAGTTTTACTGCATTCTGTAAGTTAAATAAATTGCCTTTGAGCTTTGATAAACAGGTTTCATATTTTTGTGCAGGTTTCAGCTTGAATTAGTAAAGTGAAAATAAAAGTTTGTTCTTTTCTGAAAAGTGTGTTCCACTCCTTTTACCCCTAAATAAAATAAAGTCTAACAGTCAGAGAGAAAAAGGAAGATGGGCAAGAATGTGGGAGCTGTACCGAAACCCTGGTATCCCATAATAATGGGTAAAAAGCTAATTGGTGTCTAGATTTGAAAAGCTGGTAAAGAGAAGAAGTGTTTTTATCACAAAATTATATAAAAAGAAAAATTCATGATGAAATTAATACCTGTGTGACAAAATATGAATATTATTTTTTACATCTAATGCCTCTTTTCTTTCTAACCACATATTGCTCAAACCCCAACTTCTTGAAACGCCCCTGTTCCATCACCCACCCATTGCTCTCTCACACAAATAAAAAGTTTCCATTGTGACTACTTTTTAGAAAAGGTCATGCCCAGACATTCTTTTGAAATGACATGGTTTCTCACAGGAAGTTATGTTTTCACACCATCTTTAACAAACAAAAAAATGAGACCCCCGTTAAACTCAATAGCTCTGACACAACTTTTCATTCGGTTTTCGTCATTCAAATTTCTCCTTGTTAGCATCGTTATTATTAGACTTCCATGTTGTGAAACCCCTAAACATTCCGGTATGTTAAGGAGTGCATCGCACGAGACACAAAATAGGAAGCTCAATTTTCTTAACTTTTACAAACAATTGTAGCTGGCTCTGATGAGCACAGGAGCAAAATGTGCTGACAAAACTTTTTTTCCCCCAGCAAGAAAACTTGTGCATACGACGAGAGGGCGCCATCTACTGAGAGCAAAGTAGTGCGATGTGACTTGATGTAATTTTCAAAATGGCCTTTCATTGACAAAAGTGCTGCACTGAATAAATGCAATGTAAAAATATAACTAAAGTGCAGAAGTGTGAATTTGAGTTCAAACTTTGTTTGTGTTCCTTTATGTATTTTTTTCCTTAGGAAAAAAATTGCTGATTCACAATAAATTTTGGAAACAAGATTTTGTCTCCTGTATATTTGTCAATATACAGGAGACATCTATTTTAAAACAATAGTTCAAACTAGTGTTTAGACAGAATTACCAATAAATCCATGACATGTTTTTAAATTGTGCATGATAGGGAGTGAAATAAGTGTTTGATCAAGCAGAATCCTTAATAAGTTCTTCCTGCTCAGCTGTTGAAAATCCTGTTTTTAAAACAGTTATCTTCAATATTATCATTGCACGGAGCCCCCTAGCGGGCCATGGGGGATTTCTTTTTCTTTTGCGTTACCTCGCAATAGGTTTTGCGTTCTGGCAATAATGTACTGACCAGTTCATGTGGCATAACTGAATACTGTAAGCCTTTCTTACGGTGACATCGTACTTTTTGCTATTATATAAGGTTTTCGTCAAGTTTTCCATGCATGTTAATATCTCATGAAATACCTGAAGTTTTATATCTTTTTCTTTAGGATAGAAATGCACCACAAACCTGTAATACTTTCCGTAAAAAGGAAAGAAATAAAAAATACATCCAAGCTACTTGGAATATTTTTTAGTTTTGATTGTGTCTCTCTTGTGTTGCTAGTCTGAATGGTTCAAAGGGCTGTTTTCACGTGCAGTTCCATCTCAACCTGACACAAACAGGCATAAACATGTAGTGAATAAATCAATTTTCAATCCATTTTTTGCACCAAAGAGTTAAGAATAAGCATGTTTTCACTGAGGCTCTTTATGTGTGTACCGTACATATTTTAAATTTCAAAATTATATTTGTGACTGTATACAAAATAGGCCAGCAAATATTTATATAAACAAATTGCGAGGGAACGCAAAGGAACATTTTCTCCCTATGTCCCCTAGGACATAGGGGACGTATCATTGTGTATGTAATTTAAAAGTTACTCTCGGGTAAAAAAAAAAAAAAGCACACAATTAATAGAAATATAGTTCCACCTAGCTCAGTGATGTTGAGTGTTTCTTTTAGGATGTGACCTCTGGGTGAGTCATGTGATCTGTGAGGACTTCCTGGTGTCTGTGGGCCCTGTGTTGGCTGTAGCTGATAAGGCAATTTAAATAATGGACATTAAATCCTTGTCAACATTCCTAAGACAGTGCTGCCATCTGCTGGAATTTTAAAGAAACTTCAGAACTCTATGCCCATAAACATACTTCTATCATAAAAAAGTAAAATCTTTTTTTTTTCACTCAAAGTGACATTTATATGTTTTGCAGATTTATTAACTATTAAATGGAATATTTCAAGTCTTTATTTTTTGTAGTATTAGTTATTATGGATAGGTAATAGAAAGCCAGAATTCAGAAAAAAAGCAAAGCACTTAAAACACACAGTGTCACATCCTAAACGGTTCATTAAGTCAAAACACCCATTCATTCTCATAATTATTGCTAGAAACAGAGATCTATTTAGGAGTTTAAAAATCATATGAATTGTCAATTTTGCACCAGAACTTTATGTTCCTTTGATTCTGAGTGATCAAATATTCACATTGAGGCATCAAGGAGGTCATTTTAACAGCTGTAGTTTATTTCACTATTATTGCCACTAGAATAATAGTTAGGATGAATATATCAGGGTGAGTAGCAATTTTTCTGCAGCTTTTTCATGAATACATAACTTATTTGAGTGCTTAAAAAAAAGAACTGCAACAACAGTTTGGGAGTATTTTAGCTATTTAAAACTAAAAACTAATCAATAGCTGTCAATAGCTAATCAATAGCTATTGACATCCAATGATATGAAACGCTTATATCGTGATGTTTTTCAGTCATATCGTCCAATATTACATCTAAATATTTTTACATTTCTTGATAATTTATATTATCAAAAACAAATACAAGCTCATTGCCCGTGTAAGTTTTTTATTTGCTTATCAATTATTGACCTTGTCGTCATAAGTGCCACTGCCCTTATAACCAGACACATATCCACTGTTGTCGGTCATTTCCTCACGCCCTGATAATCCTTTCCCTTTGCCTGACTCGTCAAAGCGCTCCTTGTGTGACCCGGTGTACTTGGATGTGTCAGTCAGTCTGTCCACTCCTCCTACCTTTGAAATTTTCTAAGAAGTAACGAAAAGCAGAAAAACATCCGATGAGAAATCTAAAGTAGAAAGTAGAGTGACATGCAAAACAGTTCATTCAGTTCAGATATGAAAAGGGAACACATGAAATACACACTGTCAACTTCAATTACACTGCATTGTTGGCGGAATAGACACATTGACACATGATGAGGAATACCATTGGTTTTAGCGGTCAACTTTTTAACATAACGAGCTAAATCGTAAATGTTTCCGTGATATATAAGAGAAAAAGGGACGCAATGTTTTGCTATTAATTGTCAACACTATGACAACTAGAAAAACAGGCCTGAAAGTATCACATTTCACACGTCAGTAAAAAGTTTTAATTAAAGGAAGAAAAATAGTGAGGGAGAGGAAAGCAGGTCAGTTATGCTAGCTTGACTTTGACAACCTTAACATGAAGATGTGTGCTGTTTCCATTCAGTTAAAAAAAAAAACAGGACCTGCACACCTACTCTCTGAAAGAAAATCAGTGATGCAGGTGTTTCAATTAGCTAATCAACCACCACTGTGTTCAGACAATCCCTTATTAATAATCGCAAAATAAACATCACACCTGAAAACATGCAACTGTAATGGACTCATTGTTTTGTTATTTGTTGGCGTGTGTTTGGTGTTAAATCCTGATACACCTGAATGTGATATCTGCTCTATCAGCTAATTGAGATGTTGTCAGCCAGTTGCTATGACAATGGATCTGTGTGCAGCATAAAACCAACAAAGTGGGGGTGCTGTGGTGGCGCAAGGGTTAAGCACAACCCACATATGGAGGCCTTAATCCTCGATGGGGATGTAACGACTTCAAGCCCCGGCCTGATGACCTTTGCCGCATGTCTTCCCCCCTCTCTCATTAACCACTTTCCTGTCAATTCACTGTCAAATAAAGGCCACTAGAGCCAATAAAACCTGAAAAAAACATCCAAGAAAAATACAAGTGGTTTTGAGTTGTTTTTCTGCCTTATTTTTCCTTTGTTGTGGTGCCCTGCACTAGATTAACAATACCTACATCTCCCAGTTTAATTTTGTCAAAAGAATTGTACTATAGCAGCAGCACAGCTATGGGTGGCAAGTAGAAGAATAGACCTTTTGCCCTCTAGTGTTGTGTCGCTAGAGGGCACAACACTAGAGGTTGTTCTGGCCCTAACTCCTAACCCTTACATCCGTTTACGTACGGAAATGTACACAAATTTCTGGATGTAAATAATAGCATTCAACGTATCTAAATGTATGTATTGTGTTACTCGTGGCACAATACATACATTGTGTTACACATGTTTACACCATCTGCTGGTGTTAACATGAGTACCCCAAAGTTGAAAAAACTATATTTTTTTTCTTTTTATCAAACAAAATGAAAATGACCCACTGAGTAAGAAGTATAACAGCCAGTCAGAAATCTACCCAAATCTTGGGGTCCATGAAGGAAGTGTTGATATGACCTGCTTATACTTACAGTGACTCCAGCATTGGCAGGATCCTGCCCAGCAACGAGACCGTACATATGCTGAACAGCCTCCTCTTGGCTCTTGCCTTTGAATCGTTTTGGAGCCAACTCAATCAGGGCCTGGTTGAACTCTTCAAATGTGATGACACGAGCGGTCTTTGCCCTGTTTTAAAAAAAAAAAGAAGAGACAAACCCTGTAATTATTATTTTTTCCGTTTTATCTGTCATTGTGCTTTAACATCAAACTGCCAATGGAACTAGGGATAGGAATTAGCCAACTGGCAATAATCTCATGTATGTTTCTATATGAATATTTATTAATATGTATTGTCCTATTTTTTAAAAATAAACTTGAAAATGTCATATAAAAGTTCTGTGTGAATATAAATAACATAATTTATGTGGAGATATATTTTGTTTATATAAAAAGGGTAGTTGTTAAATAAATGCTGCTGTAATGATAGCCTTTATCAAAATAAAACCACATAGTGTGCTGAAATAGTTA